TTGGTGGCTCCTGAAAGAGCCGTTTTACTGAAGTCACTTTTCACTGTTGACGTGGGGTTTGTCGTGGTAACCCATTGAGGTACAAAAGTTTGCTCTAATCAAGGTCGTAGTAAAACCATTGATGTCTTTTACTGTCAACGTTGTCGTTGACAAATTGTATTTGCCGTGCTCTTTTCTCGGCTGTAGCTTGCGATGAGGCCCAGGACTGACACGTGGTGCAAAAGAAACTGCAGTCCTTACACTTGCGCTAGCCTCCAGGTAAGGTTCACCTTAATACAATATCATGATTATTTCAATTTATTATATAGACATGACTGTTTCACTGGAAAATATACCACTCGTTAAATTCATAAAAACTACATCTGGGACCCGAGAGGTTTATTTAATTTTGCATAGTCTCACCAAGAGTTTATCGATGACGTAATTTTGGTAATTTCCCTCTATTATTTTATCCATGTATTTGTCTGTATAATAAAAGGAACATTACACGACGGCGCTAGGCTTTGGTAGATTGTGCTCGAAAAAAAAGCATATTATGCTTTTAGCAGTGCTCATATTTTTTGGAAATTATGCCAAAATTATGCTACTTTCTGAAAATTATGCTCTCTGTCACCGAAATTATGCTACTTATATTTTACACTGATTTTAAGGAAAATGAAGATTATCAATTTTGTCTTTAATGAACATTCATATAGTCCACGTTCCAGTCTTACAGTCTTTAGCGTGGCAAATACGCATGTGCGCACATGATCTCGCTTTTTTGTCACTTTTAACTTCTCTTTGCCAGCGGCATGTTTTTTGGAAGCCAAGTGTTTTTTTTAAAATGCTCTTTTTAGAGCTCAATATCTCCTTACACCCATTGCAAAACAGTTTTTCACCTCAAAGACACAAATTTTCCCCTGGGAATTCTTCGATTCGATCACGAGGACTCATGTTCTTTGGATCTGAGTTACCTCTTTCCTTGTTCTTTCCGATATTACTTTTAGGAAAACGTTCTCTAGGGATTAAAGCTCTCGGTACGGTACTGGAAGTGGTGGAAGTGGATGTACTCGAGGACGACGCCATCTGAGAAACCGAGCCGCCGCGCCATAAGCGTGGTGGCCTGAGTCTCAGTCTTATGCACAGGGTGACCTCTGCCGCCTGCCGGACCATATTTGACCATGTGCCTTAGCTTAGCACAGGCCTCAATGCTTTCCAAAAACAATACAGAAATAAAATAAAAACTGAATTATTCTAGAGCTATGATGGTTTTTTGTTTTCAAGGCATAAAAGCTCCGATTATGCCAGCAGCGCTAAACTGAAATAAAAGCTTAAAATAATGCTCGTTTTGCTGAATTATGCTTAAAATTATGCTAGCACAATCTACCAAAGCCTAGACGGCGCGCCACCGTGTAATATCCTCTATGTATAACAAGCTCAGCACCGGATTATCTTATCGCTAAATTTATTTAACAATTCAACATCAGTGGGCGAGAAACTAGAAACTCACAATCGCTACATATTCCCTTATTTAAATCAGTGAGTAACCAGAGAAGCTTCTATTACCGGACCAGTGAATAAGGGAACTCACTGGACAATGAATTAAAACTAAGCAAAGATGGCTTTAAGCTTCAAATGAAAACTCATAATTACCAACTTTGCTAGGCATACAACTTCATAAACAATGTTTCTTATATTTTATGTATGATCGTATAATTGTAGTGATTAATTTTTAGCTCTTACCTTTCCACTTTTTATATATTTACTGTATTCCCTTTTGTTTGTAATGTTTAACATATTTTTTTGTAATTATCTTTGAATAATCTATAAATGACTTTCCCTTTTTACCTACAGAATATCAACACAGAAGACTGTGAGCAACTCTTCAGTTGGCTATCAAGATATTCATCAATCACTAAACATATGAATCGATGGAGATTTTTATTATTTCTTATGTTATGTTTACTAGACTGCCCCAATGAAGATGTAGACTTACAAAACTCCTGGTAGCTTCTAGAGCGGTTTTCACTTGACTGTCGTAAAACCAAAACCACAGTAAATACACTAGCCAACCAAAAGGCGTAGTAAAACCAAAACCAAAACCAAAACCAATCCCTTTCGACAGTCAAGTGAAAACCGCTCTATGTTGTAAATCCAATCGCAAAACATTTCTAAACTTCTATCGATAAGTCACAATTTCTCTGTAATTCACATTCGCTTTTCTAAAACTGAAAACCTCAATTAATAAAATTAAACACTCTATTTCTAACAATAAACACAATGAATGGAACAGCAGTAAAGGATCTGCCAATTGCATGTGTACAACTTTCAAGAAACTTTCATCAATTTCTATTGGTAACAACATTTTAACTCCCCTTAATGGATGCATATTCACCAATAGAACCATTGGAATAGGGTGCTTTTCTATTGGTACCAATCGTACCATTGGTACCAATGGACCATTGGAATTGCCCTGTACCCAGCCAGACCACATGAGAAAATAATCTAAGTCCCCTTAATGAGATGCATATTCACCAGTAGAACCATTGGAATGACATCATTTTCTATTGGTATTCTTATCACCACTAACACCAATGGAACCTATTTGTGAGTATTGGACAACCCTAATAGCTTCATTGTACCATTTTCAAGATTATTGAAACTGAACACGGCAAACACAAACCAGATTTCCGGGCCCGAAAAGTTACCTGGAAACAGACTCCTGGGCAGAAATTGGCCTGCAAAGAAGGCGGCCTTTTTTAGTGTTTTTTTTGTTCGTTTTTCGTAAAATAAGAGGTCAAACAAGTATATAAACGATAGGGGAGGGGGTGAGAGAAGGAAGGCACAGTGTAGGTAGAGAAAACAACAGTGTTTTTGTCTGTCTTCTTTCCCTTGCAAAACAACAACAACAACAACAACAACAACAACAAAACCGCCAGCTATGCAGGCAAAATTTCTTGCATCCTACTTCTGATCCGTTGACAATTCTTTTTTAAGTTTCATCATCATTCGTTTCTTAGGACATTAGTGGCGTAAGAAATCTATGAGGAACAGAATGTGGAGAACACGCAAGTTGAGCAAATGTGACAACTAGTTTTGGGATAAAGTGAAGCATTATCTAGTCTCCCTCGCAGCCGTTTTTAGTATCGTCACGCAACGCTCCTGTCGATACTAAAAACGGCTGCGAGGGAGACTAAGCATTATCAGGATGGAATTTGATTACAACGATAGAGGTTGATTTTTCTTACAGGCCGTCAACAGCGATGGTGCAACACAACAACCATAACATTTTTTTAAAAAATATTGATAATATTAATAATAATAATAATGATAATAACAATAACAATAATAAGAATAAGAATGAAAATAATTAAGTATAATAAAAAGAGCCGCATAGGCAAAAACAATGTAGGTTAAAAAAATACATAACCTGCTTCGATGATCATTTTCCAAGTTTTTCTCTTCTCCAGTTTCTATTGAATTTTCTTTTTTCTGAACGTTAAACGGAATTTTAAAATTTAAGCCGTTTGCGACGAGAGGTCAATATACCTATTCGGCTAACTCAATGTTGTACCCAATTCAAATCTCCCGGGGTTAAGATTCTTTGCGTATTGTATGTGCAATGTGGCATTCACATTTAAATGATATGGAAATTTCTGAAACAAAACATTTTATTCCCAAAGGGTTTGAATTGGGTACAACATTGAGTTAGCCGAATAGGTCTATCAAGAGCAGGGTGGAGGACGACTGTTCTCGAGCAGAAATAATCGGGAACAGAAAAAATCAAATGGCCATAAATTAATTGTTTGAATGCTGATAATCAATGCTACATTTTGGCGGGAAAATTATCGGCGTAATTTAAATGCTAGCAAGTAAACAATGAGTCAAATTGGTAATTAGCATATTGTTGCATTTCCACGTGGAATTGCGCGCGGTAATGTTTAAAAATGTGAAGCATTTTATTAGGTGTTCCAGATTATCCTGAATGTCGCAAGAGACTGAACTAGAAACGTTATTACAGGTAAGCAAAACGAAACTTCTCTTTTTTAATTGGAACGTTGTGGTTAAAATAACATAAGCAAATGCGAACAAAGTATTTGGGAGCAGTTTGCTAAATGAAGTCAAACTTTAAAAGATGCGCTGCAACTTTTTTAAATTTAGTTTCTCACACGTGGTTTGCTTTGTACAGCTTGCAACCAGCTCATGCGTTTTTCCAAGGAATAACAAAGGGACCTACCTTCGTAAATGTTTTTCTGTTCTTCGTTCCTAACCCTAATAACCTTAATTTCAATTGGCCATGGAATTAATCTTTACTCCAGTGCACGGAGTTTTGATGAAGACGTCGACAAAGACGACGAGAAACGACGGAGTAAATAAATACTGTCTTCCTATAAAGGGAAACTTTCATTCACTAATCTTATTTTTACTTCTATCTCCATGAATTACCTAAATGTATTTAATTTCCTTACGTTCGCGCTCATATGTTGGATTGCGCGCGCTTTCTGGACCTAATCCCACATTAAAAAAATCATCGATAAGCACTGAACGCCCGGGTAAACGACATCTACTGTGAGACCAAAATTTGATTACTTAATTAAAAATGTAGCCTAAGCATTTCCATACACTACCTACTCAACCTTCCAACATTGTTGGCCCTAAGAGCGGGGATATTTTGTCCGTTTTGAATGGTGAATTGTCAAGCATTTCGGCACCTCTTTTCCTTGAATAAAGGCCCCATTTCGAGGTATGGCGTGAAAAAAACAGAGTGATTTGTAAGGAATTGTCAACCCAAGTCTTAAACTCGTTCTTTGTTCTGACTGGAATGCGGAGAAAGTGTTTGCTCGTTGGACGTTCCTGTTTGCAGAGAACTAGAGAGAAATTGCTCTGGTTAGTTAAACTTTTCTTTTTGTCTAGTATTGTGCTATGTTTGCTGCCTGCAGCATCGAAGTCATTAGAGTTCTCTAAATCGATAATTATCCTCCCTTTATTGATTTTTAAAACATCCCACTTTCAGTATTACAATGAACCTGCAACAAGCTGCAGTAGCTGTCACTTTCATCTGTTTGTTGCTGCTCCCTGCGCATGCCTGGTGGCCGTTTTCCAGCTCGTCCTCTGAGGAAACTGGTAGCGAACAGGGGAAACATTTGCAAGACAGTCCAGTCCCTTTTGAGATGTCAACGGCCGAGGAAAAGTTCTTGGCGGAAGCAAGAAAATACATGGGAGACCTCAGCCCCCTGGATTCGTGTCATCAGATTGTAAGTATTCAGATGGAAAGATAGGGGATTAGATGGGAGAGAAAATAGTCAATTTATCTTTACAAATTTTCTAAGAAATTTAAAAGGAAGATCTCGAGGATTTATTTGTTCTTTATTAGACTTTCCCAAGCTCTCGGTCAGTGCAGGCAGGTCGAAAAAAGAGGGCTAGCTGGGAAAAAAATAGCGAGCGAAAAACGCTGGGAAGAGAGAAGGGGAGAGCCAGTGAGCATCTTTTTAATTACCTAGGTCCTCCTGCTTCAACAAAAACCGTTTCTTGTGTCCAAATAGCAAAATCTCTGGTGAAGGAGGGTTTCACACGCTCGCCATGTTTCTTTGGCTTTGCGTGTGCGAAGGCAAGTGATTGACGTAAATGTTGACGGAAACTGTCAAAACTGACCAATCATAGTGTATACTAGGATTTGGGATACCGGAATGAGGTATTGAAAACAATGCTTGCGAGTTCTAATTCCCTGTCTCTCCCCGACCCTCGCGTAGCCCTCGCGTGGTTTTCGAAAAACGTTTTTGATCTCCTTTCCTAGTAGTTTGGAGCCTGGAACAGGAGAGTTCTTTATTGCTCCTTGTTTCAGCGTTTTGTTCTGAAAATTGTCCTTTTAAATTTCAGGTCATTAACCGAATCAAGAAATCGTGTGGGGATATCAATGAAGTGGAACTTGCAAAGCTGGGTGTGGCTCTTTTAAACTGTCAATCAAAATCTGAAGGAAGACGGACATACGAGTGCACAGACGAAATGGTTAGTGTTCAATCAGTCACGTAAATGATTGGTCAAAATTGACGACGAAACGGTCAGAAAGGCGGTCTAAGTAGCGAATCACTCAACCCGTCTACCATTTTTTTAGTCAGTAGGGAACTTATGATCCTACAAGGGCGACTCTAATACAAACGTCATACAAAAATAGACTTCGCATTGTTTCATACTTTTTTGCGATTATTTTCTCTGGGGCTGGAGAGAGAGGATCGGGTCGGAAATTTGACAGGATAGTACATATTTATTACCTTGCCGTTCCCTTTCCATACATGGAAAAGGAATTTACAAACAAGCATGATGCACTTGCAGAGGTTGTTTTTTGCTTCCTAAACCTATTATGTTTTAGACGTTCCCCTTGCCGTCGCTGTCGTAGTTTCGTAAGGTCCCTATGTGTAGGTGTTTTCGTTATTTATCGGGAGCATGCGAGCACTTAAAGTCGCTTGAGTGATCCAGTTGTTTAATTGGCCGTTGTAATGCTGCGTCTGACACTGGGTCGGTGTTGTGTCCTTGCGTTGAATTCCTAAGGACAATATTTAAGTTCAGACCAATTGGTCAATAATTCACGATTTTTAGCAAAATGGTCACGTGACATATCACGTGACTGATTAACACAACATTTATACTTTAAAATTTTAAGGACGACGATTTCTTTATGTGCACCAAATTTTGATTCAGTACATCATCTATACCGAAGTTATCATTTTCCACAGGTAAACCCCTTAGTCCCAGGCCTTAAACTACGTGAGTACAATTCGTTGCCGCTGTTGCAGGGAGACGTCGTGAAACGTCCAAAGTTCAAGTTTCACGAAAGACGTGAGCACGAGAAAACAATTTGATGTTCTTTTTCTGAACTCAGATACAGCCTTTCAGAATTCTACTCCAGAAACATTTGCCAATATTTGATAAACTGAACGAGACAAATTTTGAGCGAAGAAGTTTGAAGCAGCACGAATTCACTTTTGTGTCACATTTGCTCTATCGCCGTCGTCGTTGATGCTGAAGCTCCTTCCTACAAACAACTGCTAGAATTATGAGACAGCTGAGGCCGTTTCACACACGTTCAGTTTATCGTGATTTGAACAATATACACACCCAACATTTCTTTTCAGGAGCTGCGTGAGTGCACAGCTGATATGGACGCAAACACGTGGAACAGTTACCACATCATTAGTAATAGGGCGCGGTCCATTTGTTACGCCACCAGACAGCAACAATTTAGACTCAAGACAGAGTTCACTGTCAATAAACTGGCAAATCAGGCGGAGAATCAGATGCATCTCATGAACCACTTACAGGTCAGGTTGTTTGAAACGGTTAATGATTGTTGTGAGTAGTATGGCGGGGAACAAATTATCCTCTTTCGGAAAAAACTCTTAAGCGTGCGATAAAACCCAAGAAAGACCTTCTCATCTTAACAAGTACACTTGTTCGCTTACTTCTGAAGAAGCGGGCGAGGGTACCTTCACGTGAAGCCCGCGAGCATCAAGTTTTTCATGCGTTTTAGGATTTTTAAACCCGTGATTTTGAACAAATTCTATGCTTAAACTATAACTGCACGAGTTTTCTTTTTTAAAACAGGATGGTCAACGAAGGCTGACAGAAGTTGCAGAGGATACAGTGATAAGAGTAACAGCTGGCCAAGAACGTCTCGTTAGGCAACAGCAGCAGCTGCATTCTAACTACGAAGATGTCCAGCGGTCGATCTCCTTTAGTCTAAGAGGAAACGTGAGGGCATTAAATCATGAAAAAACGTTAATAGATAATGGCCGCAGACAGCTGAAGGAGATGGCCAAAACGGTTAAAGAAAAGCTTGGTAAGGATATGTATAATGTCGGAAGGTTTAGCTACCATCTGTATCAAAAACGAAAAATCTGAATAAATCCCCTCAAATCCAACCGATCGGAACACACAAACGTGCGTCGGTTGCCTGCCACGGATGCGTCACGAGGTGCTCGTGATTGGTTGGTTTAATAACAAATTGGTGGTCTGTTATATCTTTTCCCCTAGTCAGTCGCAGTTTTGCGTTATCATTCTGCTTACTGTCAATCTAACTTAAGATAATCTTTTCAATCCACAGAAAATGCCACCTTGGAAATTAAGAAACAAGACGTCGACAGAAAAGTAAGCCATCGCAAAATCCTTGAAGATCTGAACAGGATTCGCAGTAAAGCAGATGAAGTGTGGAATAAAATTGGTAAGAAATTTAACCTAAAAAAATTGGTCATTTTGAGGTAGGACTGTGTTTTAAACCCAAATTCTTAGCCAGTTTTGTGGGCAACCTCGTAACAGCCAAGAAACGATGGCGTCCCCAAAACATTCCCATGGTTCAATTCGACCCAACAACGAACTTGTCTTGCGTGTAACCTCGCAACCCTGGGGGGGGGGGGGGGGGGGGGGCTTTCCCCGTGTCTTCTTGTTTCCGGGGCGCCCCCCCAAATGTGGGGAACAAAACGCGACACCCCTGTGCCAGGGGGAACCAGCCGAGGGAAAGAGGAGGGGCGGGGGGTGGGGGGGGGGGGGGGCCACTTTCTATGTTCCCCTCCCGCCACACAACCAGACGCTGGGGCGCTCCGTTCTCTCCCACGCGCGAAAGCGCGTTTTCTGAAAATTGTCCTTTTAAATTTCAGGTCATTAACCGAATCAAGAAATCGTGTGGGGATATCAATGAAGTGGAACTTGCAAAGCTGGGTGTGGCTCTTTTAAACTGTCAATCAAAATCTGAAGGAAGACAGACATACGAGTGTACAGACGAAATGGTTAGTGTTCAATCAGTCACGTAAATGATTGGTCAAAATTGACAACGAAACGGCCAGAAAGGTGGTATAAGTAGCGAATCACTCAACCCGTCTATCATTTTTTTAGTCAGTAGGGAACTTGTGATCCTACAACGGCGACGCTAATACAAACGTCATACAAAAATAGACTTCGCATCCTTTTATACTTTTTGCGATTATTTTCTCTGGGGCTGGAGAGAGAGGACCGGGTCGGAAATCGGAAAGAGATAGTACATATTTATTACCTTGCCGTTCCCGTTCCATACATGGAAAAGAAATTTACAAACAAGCATGATGCACGTGCAGGGGTTGTTGTTTGCTTCCTAAACCTACCGTGTTTTAGAAGTTCCCGTTGCCGTCGCAGTCGTAGTTTCGTAAGGTCCCTATGTGTAGGTGTTTTCGTTATTTATCGGGAGCACGCGAGCACTTAAGGTCACTTGACTGATCCAGTTGTTTAATTGGCCGTTGTAATGCTGCGTCTGACACTGGGTCGGTGTTGTGTCCTTGTGTTGAATTCCTAGGGACAATATTTAAGTTCAGACCAATCGGTCAATAATTCACGATTTTTAGCAAATGGTCACGTGGCATATCACGTGACTGATTAACACAACATTTATACTTTAAAATTTTAAGGACGATGATTTCTTTATGTGCACCAAATTTTGATTCAGTACATCATCTATACCGACGTTATCATTTTCCACAGGTAAACCCCTTAGTCCCAGGCCTTAAACTACTTGAGTACATTTCGTCGCCGCTGTTGCAGGACTACGTCGTGAAGCGTCCAAAGTTCATGTTTCACGAAGGACGCGAACACTAGAAACGATTTAATTTTCTTTTTCTGAACTCAGATACTGCCTTTAAGAATTCTACTCCAGAAAAATTTGCCAATATTTGATAAACTGAACGAGACAAATTATGAGCGAAGAAGTTTGAAGCAGAACGAATTCACTTTTGTATGACATATTTGCTACCGTCGCCGTAGAGCTAAAGCTCCTTCCTACAAACAGCTGCTAGAATTATGAGACGGCTGAGGCCGTTTCACACACGTTCAGTTTATCGTGATTTGAACAATATACCCATACGACATTTCTTTTCAGGAACTGCGTGAATGCACAGCTGATATGGACGCAAACACGTGGAACAGTTACCACATCATTAGTAATAGGGCGCGGTCCATTTGTTACGCTACCAGACAGCAACAATTTAGACTCAAGACAGAGTTCACTGTCAATAAACTGGCAAATCAGGCGGAGAATCAGATGCATCTCATGAACCACTTACAGGTCAGCTTGTTTGAAACGGTTAATGATTGTTGTGAGTAGTATGGCGGGGAACAAATTATCCTCTTTCGGAAAAAACTCTTAAGCTAAGATAGAACCCACGAAAGACCTCATCTCAACAAGTATACTTGTCCGCTTGCTTCTGAAGAAGCGGGCGAGGGTACGTTCACGTGAAGTCCGCGAGCATCAAGTTTTTCATGCGTTTTAAGATTTTTAAGCCCGCGTTTTTGAACAAATTCTTGGGCAAACCGTCTCTATAAGAGTAAAAGTGCTTAGCAATACAAAAAAGGTAGTGTCAAAAGAGAAAAACTATAGCTGCACGAGTTTTCTTTTTCAAAACAGGATGGTCAACTAAGGCTGACAGAAGTTGCAGAGGATACAGTGATAAGAGTAACCGCTGGCCAAGAACGTCTCGTTAGGCAACAGCAGCAACTGCAATCTAACTACGAAGATGTCCAGCGGTCGATCTCATTTAATCTAAGAGGAAACGTGAGGGCATTAAATCATGAAAAAGTGTTAATAGATAATGGCCGCAGACAGCTGAAGGAGATGGCCAAAACGGTTAAAGAAAAGCTTGGTAAGGATATGTATAATGTCAGAAGTTTTATCTATCATCTGTATCAAAAACGAAAAATGTGGGTAAATCCCTCAAATCCAGCCAATCGGAACACACCAACGTGCATCGGTTGTCTTCCACGGATGCGTTACGTGGTGCTCGTGATTGGTTGGTTTTAATTACTTACGGATTGGTGGTCTCTGATATCGTTTTCCCCTAGTCAGTCAAAGTTTTGCGTTATGTTTCTGCTTACTGTCAATCTGAGTAGAGATGATTTTTTCAACCCACAGAAAATGCCACCTTGGAAATCAAGAAACAAGACGTGGACAGAAAAGTGAGCCATCGCAAAATCCTTGAAGATCTGAACAGGATTCGCAGTAAAGCAGAAGAAGTGTGGAATAAAATTGGTAAGAATTTTAACCCAAGGAAATTGGTCATTTTGAGGTAGGACTATGTCTTAAACCCAAATTCTTAGCCAGTTTTCTGCGCAACCTCGGAACAGCCAAGAAACGGTGGTGTCCCCAAAACATTTCCATGGTTGAATTCGACCCAACAACGAGCCAATCGTGCGTGTAACCTCAAAACCTGGGGGATACTCCCTGTGCTGCTTCGTTCCTGGGCGCCCGCCTCAACTGTTGAATAGAAAACGCGACTACGATTGATCAAGGAGTATCGCGCGGTGAAACATGGGAGCGTTCAGCGTTGGTGCAAAGGTGTGCACTTTCCTCATGATCCCTTGCCAAGAACCAAAGTCGTCCCAGGCGCTCTCGATTGCGAATCCACGAGAACATGCCTAGGTGCAAGGCAGCTCCCTGTGTTAGCTAGCGCGGGGAGGCTCTGTCCGAAAGCAGTACCTTTTTCAGGCTTTGGATATACAAGAGCAGGGAAAAGGGATTTCTTGAGTTGAAATATATGCGAAAAAAACATAATTGGTAATTTGGGTATTTAAAATGGCCTATCTAAAGTATTTCGAACAGAGGTACCTTATGGTTGTATCAATTTAATTTTTTAAAGGCCCCATTAAGTGGCAAGAAGACTTGCTGTAGGGGGTATGTGGAAGGCGTATCATTTTTCAATGGAGGTATAAGAAAGGGCTACATATACAACAACAAGACGTTGGACCTCGAGGGGGAGCCCTCCCACACATAAAAACGTTGCTGAGTAGAAATAGCCCCCCCTACCCCCCGTGCTTCAAAATGGCTAATAGCTTAAGTTAAAATATTCTTTACCACCCATGTCGCTGAACTACGTGGACAATGATTTCCCAATGAATATCTTTCTCTTTAGACCATAGTACTCTGCAGATGATGTCGTATCACAGCGAAACGACGCAACATTACAACGAGACAATGGAAAACTTGAAAATCATCAACGAAACTATTGTCTACTTACTCAAGGTATTTTGGGGTCTGAAATTTTACGAGTGCCTTTTGAATTGCTTGCACTACTGACAATTAAAAATGGAATAAATTCTTTAATCAGGTAACGAATCAAATGCAGGAAAAGATCGACGACAGACTTTCGTGGTTGACACAACACCTAGGAGGGACTGGGGACAAACTAGTGATTATCACCACGTGCCTGTTGCATGCGGGGTATTTCCTTTTAGCGACCCTTTGCATTTTGTTCCTGAATGCTCCTCTTTTCACGAGACTTGTTCTTCTCATACTGGTGCCTATCAACGCCTGGAGCGAAATTAAATTTCGTTCCAGTTTATCGTACGGTTCGCTTTCGTGTCTTCTT